AAAAAATAATAAAAAAAAAAGGTACATAAATGTGCAGAGAGTGAAAGAAAAAAAGTGATGATTATTGGTAGTTTTGTGGTGATTTGATGTGGTGGTGGTTGAGATTTGGGAAAAGAGGAGGCTCGCGCCAACTAACAATCTCAGTTGGCTTTGACACTTTTAAGCCACGTGATGGAATATATTTGGTTTATTAATGTTGATGACCTTGATTAGTCATCTCACTAAATACAATTAAGAAAACACAAATGATGTTTAGTCATTTTTTTTGTTGGTACAAAGAAAGAGGCCCAGCCTATCAGCGTACGTTGCACACGGACCGCGAATAAGACACGCCAATCGGATCATGGTGAAGCCACTGACGAACTCCATCTGGCGGAACAAATAGGAAATGGTAACCCAACGATCCATCCGCAGCGAAGGAAGCCAAATGATCGGCTGCAAAATTCGCTTCACGAAATACATGTTTCACCTTGGCGTTCCAAGGGCGACCTAGTGGATCTTTGATACCAGGGGCGTCCTTGGGCCCGTGCGGGCTGTGCGACCGCACAGAACCCCCAAAATATAAAGTATACCTTATGTATAGTAATATAGAAGGCTTCAGTTTCATGAGTTTTCAGCCCATTGCTTAGCAAAATAAGGCCCAAATTAGAGGAAGATGAACCGATTGCCGACAGCATTGATCGCGTGAACAGTAGGTATGATAATTCTTGAAATATCCCATTTATATGTTATTTGTTATTACTGTCTAATTTTAATAGGCCACTAGGTCCCCATCTTGGAATTTCGCACTGGGCCCCCAATTTGACCGGGACGCCCCTGTTTGATACCCAACACAAGACCCGTGTGAACCCCCGATACATCCTCGAGAGATTTGGACAACCCTAAGACAATTTCATTGTCGAACCCCAAATCCCAAGCCAAAGTGAGACCCCGAAATAAGCTCCACATATCTGCACTACTTCATATAGTAGTAATCTTTGAAAAAGTTTAATAAATAGCTAAATATTGGCACGGGTAGTATTACACTTATTTTACATGGAAATGCGTATGGAATAAAAACGAAAATATAATATGATTAATTTTTTCTATTTATTTTACTTAAAATGACACTCATGTGTCGATATAGAATTGAGAAAAGAAAAATTCTAATTTTATATTTGAAATACAATTACAATACTTGAACATAGCATGAAATTTGTTGGTAATAACATTTGAAATAATGTGAACCACATCAACTGCTATAGTTTTGACTATAGTTATGAAAAAAGTTCGTCTCTTACAGTTTAGTAGTTTTAATTTATTAACGTAATTTTGCAAGCTATTGTTATATTTACAAGTACACAATTGAAAATAGACGGCATTACCAACATGAGTTAGCTCAAGTGTTAAGCAGCTTGATGTTGCTTAAGCAAGGTCTTGAATTCGAGTCCTTCTGAATGCAGAAAACCCTTGTTGAGAGACTCACCTACCATTGTCAGGTATGCGACTCGGGTCGACCCAGACACCGTGGCTGCCTCCCAAATACACACACATTGTGGAATGAAAATCTTCTACCTCTTCATATCTAGTTAAGTGTGAGGTTACTAATGTATAGAACTGTATTTTCACTAAAATACACTACTATATTAATATTTATTTAATTAGTCTTCACCTGAATAAAGTAACATTTGTTACTGTTTGGTGTGGCATTCATATTAGTAATAAAATTGGATGAGACACAGAATGGTAGTTGCACGTGCTCCTTCACATCCTCACACGTGCTAACAGGCTTTACCAATTACCCCATGCTTTTGAGTTTTAAGTATAGTTGTTAAGGAAAAAGAAAGATTATCAAAGGGTAGCAAGATGATGTAAAAGCTGAAATAAAGCATTCATGGAGGAACTTTCCCAAACAGTACTCAAATGTTCACACATTAATCCCCATTAAAAAAAAAGAAACATATAAAACATGTATCCTTCCTTACAAAGGGTCAAATTGAAATGTTTCCAGTTAGAGTAGGAAACTCATCAATGGAGAAAAACTATAACAATCGAGTCGAATAAAATGATATGATACATAGAACCCTTACAACCGGGCATTAAGCGTTTTTTTTTCGAATTTTATTCATCTCCACTTCTGTTTGAACTGTCGGTCCCCGGTTGCTTTACAAACTGTCCTCGTACGCGAGGCCTCTGTTCAGCTAATTTCTTTCTGGTCTGATATCTTACCTGAAAGAAAACGAAAATGAAAAAAAAAATGGCATTAGGACATTCAAGATGGTAAGAACAAAATCATTACAGAACTAACAGGAGAACCTTAATATTACTGGTGTTCTTTTTTTATATTTGAAAAAAGTCACTAGTCGACAAATAATTACCGGGCGTTTTATCTGTTAGACCTAAGTTCTTCACTTCCTTCAAGAACTAGATGACATCGAGAATAAAAGACACTGATATTCACGCTAGTTGATCACACAGATTAATTATTTTCATGCATATCTCCTGAATATATAGTAGGAAATGCTTACCAACATTGATCGAACTTCAGATTATCATTAACACTAACATAAATACAAGCAAAGGAAAAAAAAAAACAGTAGAAGTAGAACCAACTGCCAAAATGTCTTCTAAGTGTGATTGAATATGGATTTGATTTGGTTTTGATTGATTTTTTCTATTAATTATAGTTAATTATAAAAGATGTGGTAGAATTAGTTGTTAGTGGAATTTTGAGTTTATATTAAAAAAAACAACTAAAGTTAAAAGTTAAAGTTGATTTGATGTAAAAATAAGAGAAAGATGATGCGTGATGGTTGGTTAAAATTATGTTACTGAATGAAAAGTGGATTAAAGTTGACGTGATGCGTAAGAATGATTGATTTATATTATCTTATTATATTAGTAATATCGAGTATATTGAGGTTGGATTAAAGTTGAGTTAAAAAAAAAGTGATTGAGTTAAAAATAATTGGTTTTTTTCCAATCAAATTCATATCCAATCACTTGTTCACCAAAGAGGTTGAGCATTAATCTCTCAACTATACATGACATCTAGATGGGGCAACTAATTAACTTTCTAAAATTTCAATAAATTTTCTAGGGAAGTACCTTAAATGACATTCAACTTCACACCAACAACTAATCCGGAGGATAGAGAGGAAGAGAGAGAGAGAGAGATTGAGAGAGAGAGAGATAGGCAACTAAGTAACTTTCTCAAGTTTCAATACTTTTTACTAGGGAAGTACCTTAAATATTCATTCACCTTCACCTCAACAACTCATCCAGAGGAGAGAGAGAGAGAGAGAGAGAGAGAGAGAGAGAGAGAGAGAGAGAGAGAGATAGAAGAAAGCAACCAAATAACGGAAAAATTTCAGATAAATCCACAATGTGAAGGGTCAAAGAATAATTAATTTTTATCACCTTCTTCTTAAAGCATCTCTCCTTCCTCTTCTGCCGGAACTTCAACAAGGCAGCCTCCCGCTGTGTGAATCTGATCTCGTCTGCTTTATTTCCACTTCCGGTCCCGCTAGCATCCCCACCACTACCGCTTTTCCCGGCTTGCCCGGCATCACTTTCTCCATTATTTCCCACGGCATTATTAATTGCAGTGCAGCTCCCATTCTGTCCATTACTACCGTGATTACTTCCCGAACCACTTCTGTTGAGACTACAGTTCACCGTATTATTATTATTGACATCGACTGGCCCATCTAGTGCTAACTGCTTCACAGATGGCTCTTCGTGATTGGACAAGGGTTGATGATTATTATCCATGTTCTGAAAATGATGGTGAGGATTGTGAAAATCTTGGTGATGGGTGTTGGGTGGAAGTCGAAAGGTGGTGGACCCCATGTCGATGTTATTGCCAATAATTCCGTTCGAGTTTTGATACATGATATGGTCAGTCGAGAGTATTTGCATTTCGCCTACGTACTCTCGTTTTGCGGCTGCTGCTCCATTACTATTGTCGAGCACGGAACTGCTGCCGGTGATTGCAATGGGAGACTTTGAATTACTTATGGATGTGTTATACCTGCATTTTTGAGAAATTACCGAGTCAGAAAAAACCAACACAAATTTTTAATAGTAGATTGATTAGACCAAAACGAGAAGGAAAAAAAAAAATTGATCACGAGATTGTAGCTCACTTGTTACAGCTCACCCTTTGTAGGGGTTAAGGATGTGATACTAGTTAGCCACCTAGCTGATAATCTAGCTTATAACTAATAAGCTAGCTTATAGCTTATTAGTAATTTCGAGCTTATAGCTGATAGCTTATGAAAAGCTAGTTTATATGATAAAAGTTTTTGGTAAATTAGTTGATAATCAAAAATTTAAATAGGCTTATTTGAAAAGCTATCAAAGGAAGATTATGATATAAGCTCGAACTTCCTACCAAACCAAACTTATTTAAATACAGAAAGCTTATAAGGTAATCAAATAAGCTATAAGCTAGCTTATATGCTTACCAAACACAACCTTAATACAAGGTTTGATCCATGCACCTCTCAGTTTCTAAAGTACTTAAGACTCCCCAACTAGCCAGTCCCTTGGTAATTAATAAAGAAAAAGTTATGTTTGTCTCTTAGCGATTAGTTACTCGGCTATTATTATATAACTCGTCTATTAAAGAAAAAGTACTCTCCCTTTTAAGATAACTTTTGGGGATGAGTCCTACCCGAGCCCATTTACCATTATTATTATTATTTTCAGACCTCGAGAAGGCGGATTGCTCGGATCGTCGCAAGACATAGCGCTGCTCATCTTGGACTGATCCACCGGTTTCCTGAACTCCCCTAAGCCTCTTTAAACTAAGCTCCACGTTTGGTTCTTTACAATCATCAGTTGCATTGGCATTACTATTGGTGTCCAATTTGTTAGCGACTTCTCTAGTAGACTCAGATTCTCTGCCAGTCGGGTTCGCTTGTCCCTCCCCAGGATTTTCTGATTTAGGCACGATATCCAACTCATTGCCAGCATCTACACATTAAATTTAATTGAGATTATCAAGGCACCACCAAAGAGTCAACATTAAATTTATTATATATATATATATATATTTAATACCAGGAAGCTGTTGCCCGTGGCCTTCCCTTGCTACACGAAGTTGCACCCTGTTGCAGTCAGAATGCTCGGCATTTGAGTGAATAACTTGGGCGCACGTACTGTCTGGGCACTGTGCTACATTATCGATTGGTGATAAAGATTGAGAGCTGTCAACTTCTACAGCTCGTTTTGTCCAAGAACTCTGAAAGAGCAATTAAGTTATAGTAGTACGTATACAGATTCTTACAAGCTCCAGCTACAGGTGTATGTATAGAGAGAGATTAATAAACAAGTTTTCTCATGTTCTGACACTCAAAATCCTGCTATCTGAATCTGGATTAGGGGCAAGATCCACAACAAAGTGTGTCCTTAAACTCTATAAAAAACCTAAGAGAAACCACTTATTGTTTGAGCCAGGAAAAAAAAAACAACAACAACTATTCACATACCTAACACAGGATTTATATTAGAGATGTGTATGGTTCTTTTTTCTTTTCTTTTTTTTTTTACAGTGAATGTTCTTCTATAATAAAAGAGCAATAGGCGCACCTTTTTCTTTTTATTTTTCAGATTAGAAACAAAAATTGTTAAAGAGGATTGAGCGGCACATAAGAAATAAGGAAAATCCCCTAAGACACCATAGAAACATCAAGCATAACATCTGGTGATACAAATTACTTTGTGGTGCATGCATATAGTTCATCTGGCGAACAAAAAATTAAGAAATACACCACCTGTGCCCCGCTACCGTCATCACTTCCATCTCCAGCATTTAATCCGTTGCTTTCATTATTTTCCCCATCATCACTTGCACTGTTGCCTAATATATCAGTACCTTTCGATTTCACAGATTTTTGAGTTTGTGTACCACTTTCACTCCCACTTCCACTGGACTGGAAAGCATATCAAATCAAAGAGGATATAAAAGCATAAGAAAAAATTAAACAAACTTGTTTAAATAGAACAAAAATTAGTTTGACCAGTCAAGTAGACACATTACAGTATTGCCTAGACTGATTGTCAAAGTCTTAATACTTCTTTCATCTTTTCCTTTTCGTTTTAGCTATGATTTAATACTGTTAGGGAGTCCATTAATGGAACATTTCACCACACGTGAAAACAGAGAGAAAGAGCAAAAAAAAGCATACGGTAAAACGCAGTTTTTCAACCTATATACTTTTCAGTAATAATAAATGTTCAAACATAAAATAATTAATATTGTGGCCAATCAAGACCAATTAAAATAACAAGGTCACTACATTGAATTAACTTTGAGGTCGATTCACATGAAACCAGAGGAGGATGTCATGTATGAAGGTTTCGAGTCTTGAGAATCATGCTCTGTCATTTTTACCACATAGAAGTTTCATTTTTGTCAAGAGATTAGACAATTTAGGATGACTTACACTTTGGCACCTCCTCCATACATGCTGCCACAGATTCTTAAGCTCGTTCTTCCTTATAGGTTTGAGCAAAAAGTCCACTGCACCTTTAGAGAGACATTTAAACACTAAACCCATTGAATCATGAGATGACATCACTGCACATAAATTCACCCAATTAGTGTCAATAGCGCACCTAAAATATGGCGATAAATAAATGTATAAGGGGTTTAATTACTCACTAATTACAGGAATAGTCTTGCGAGTTTTGTGGCTCATAATCTTACATAGAAGGCCTATCCCTGAGAAACAAGGCATTACCACCTCTGTCAAGACAATGTCGATATGGTTGTTTAAATCTTCTAAAATCTTCCATGCTTGCAGTCCATTAGCTGCATCTACCACTGCATTTACCAGTCAACAGGAAGAAGATGCATAAAATTGAATTTGATTGACACGAGTGTATAATCTTGATTTGGTGAAATATATTAAAGACAAAGCTGAAAATATTATGTACACAGAACCCCCAAAATAGTGGGTTAACTTATTAGCATAGATGTACTCCAGTTATTGCCCATTAAGGTATAACTTCGAGGCTAAGAGCCATGAAAGATTAAATGACTCAGAGTGGTGTAATTGATGTCGTCATGCATCTGCTCCTAGAATTAGGAAAATATTAAATACCTCAGGTTTACATGAATCTTATTATGCATGGAACAAAAATAAATTCTGATTAATGAATGTTCCAACAAAAAAAAAAAAAAAAAACTTCTGACGATGGTGCTTTAATGATGCTGGAATTTCTACTATTTCCATGGGAAATGGAATTGTCTAGCCTACAACACAAAATCATTGAAGGGCGATGTTTGCTTAAGAAGCTGAGGCTATTGACAAATGTCCTTCACACGAATGAAGACAGCCTCCTAATTCACACTGACCTACCTAACCAAAATGGCATGATAACTGCTGTAAAAAATATTAGTTTCCGAGTCATGTGCAGCTTATAATTAGACTACATATTCCACAACTAGAATCATCACTTTCTTTTCCATAGCAAGAATTATTATGAAAAAATGCTTGACACATTCAATCCAAATCATGGGGACGGTCAGAGATTTTAGACTTTATCTGGATTGAATAGTTCAAGCTAATCCAAGATTAACAGCGAAACTATTGATCTTTTTCAGGCATGTCATGTTGTAATGGATTGAACCTTTCTTTTGAAACATTTACCTAGTTACTGGATTTTACGAATTTCAAATCTATGATAACCCTCGCTTCAAATCCAAATCCTTCCATCCAAATGCAGTAATACCGTTACTCATCAAATAGTTAGAGTAACCATATACACATGGAGTTCATTGACCATTAATAATTGCTGTAAATCTTTTAACGACGCGATTTTCTTACAAACATATCCCAACCGCATCTACAAGCAAGCTTTAATTTTTTAATAATTTTACATTGCAACCCCTAAGTACCTTCATAATTGCAGTTTCTCAGCAGAGCTGTGACAACGTGGCGTGTAGAGTCATCATTCTCAACCAGCAAGACCCGAATGGACCTCACATGAAGGAATCTCTCCCAACAAACCACAGAGCCCTGTGTCGGCTGCTGCTGATGCACCTGCACGACACCCGAACCTTGGGACCTACTGGTGGCAGCACCATGGTTAGCATTTATCTTCATTTCACCTACTCGAGCCAAGCTACCTCTCTCACCCAAAGCTATGTCCGCGTAGTCTTTCTCCTCATCTGGTGACTCGTTTTCCCCGTTAGCAACAATATTCATGGAT